AGTGATCTCGTGTTCTACGAATAATTGTACAAATCGATTGAGCAAGGAAAATAAGATGTCTTTTCGTCGGTAATTGAGATACTCATTAGTTTTAAAATGTGAGTAGCTGCCCCAGAATAATTAGTTTTCTTCATTACTGCAGGTTTCCATTGACAAACGATTAACTGAATGGTGGGTGTTTGCCACGAAGAGAAAAGGCTTTGTGCCTACAAAGATGTTTTATTTGTAGCATATATTAAATTTTTTTTTGTTCAAACCTGGAACTGTCGTCCTACATCTTAAGGTAGATGTAGTTTCTTCTATTTTCAGTTTCCCTGGGTACCTCATGCCACCAAATAAGCAAATTAGAAGGCACGTAAGAACTGAAGCCTCATTGACAGCACTGATACCTGGAAACGTATGAGATTTTAACATTATTGTTCAAGTTCTAACACTACTGCTTCTTTGTTCTCTAACAAAACAAATCAAGTCCATTAAACATTTTAAACGTTGATTGCATTTGGATTATTATTATTATTATTATTATTATTATTATTATTATTATTATTTTCACTTTATTGAATACAGGGGCGAAACACAGCATGATACTAACCTAACATAATCTGTACTAATATATAACGACACAAGGGCGTTGCGTTACAGCGCGATAATCTCTGAATGTTCTGGACGATGAAACTTATGTGCTAGCTTACTTTGAAGATCAGGAGTGCTATAGGCTAATATTTACAACTATAAACCTAACTATATTAAGAAAATAATTACTTTTCAGAACGTTTTTCGCCTAGCATTGCATCACAGATTCAAGAGTACATCAATGTGCAATAATCTGGCTGCGGTCCACCACAGGATGACGACTGAGGTCTGCGATTGAGTTCGTCAATTCACAGGATTGCGTATATCTGTAGAATAGCTTAGCATTGTTGATTCTGCCGTCAATGTTTTAATGTGAAATGTTTATATTTAAGAATAATTCTGACGATTTTTCTTCACTCAATTTACAAAAGTAACTTGCATATGGAATTTAATTGCAACCAGGCGTGAATGTATTAAGTGTACAAAAGAGGCGTATTCTTATTCATAAAATATTTGGAAAACGACATTTTGCTGATAGATGTTTGATATTGTCGCAAAAGGTATGAATGCAGACATGTGATCTACATGAAATTGTTATTGTTTTAGCTGCAGTATATTAATATATTACTATATTTAGTTACTATATTACTATATGATTATTACTTATTTAGGTCGTATATCGTTGAGGTGCAGCATTCAATAACAGCGTGTAATATATGGCACATGATACGGCTAGGTGCATGAGCGAGTTACGCTCTTTTATATGTTAAGTGAGTGCATATTGTACGCCGAGCGACCAAGTGAGGATGTAAACGTGACATTACAATAAAATAAGTTAACCGTTCAAATACGGTTCGAGTGTGCTTATTTGACCACCTGAAACAATACATTTGGCGACAAATATTACATGGACCGCATCAACGAGTTAAATCCTGTGAGAACAAAAACAAAGTAAAAGTGAAAACGAAACGTGTGTAGTTAATAACAACAGATGATGGTGGACTACCTGGGAGAGCCGGAATTTGATTTAACTGAGGTGAACATCCTTACTCGTTGGGAAAGAAGGCGTTCGAACTTTGAAAGGTAGCAACAACAACAAAAAAGAAGAAGAAAAGTAACAAACGCTGTGATTCTGAAGAAAGAGGTTAAGTCACATTACGGAGGAATGGAGCTACAATATATGTTTTTCGCAATCCCATTCACTGACAGGTTTCCGAAGGGGGGGATGCGCATGTTATAGCGAAAACGGCCCTAAATGACTACTTTAAACCGAAAGCAAACCCGTTGTATGAGATGTTTTTTCGGAATATAGTTCAAGCAGAAGGTGAAAGCATAGTGAAGTTCGTCTCAAGATTGAAACAGCAGGCCAAATATAGATAATTTGCCAATGAAGAAGAAGAAATCTGAGAACAAATCATCGAGAAGTGTTTGCACAAAGAGGTCAGGAAAAATGCGCAAGTGAAAGGAAATCTGACATTCACGCATGTCATGAACATCGCCACACAAAGAGGTTTCCATGCAACAGTTGAAGGTTGCAGCTGAGAAGTCGGTGGCAAAATTAACACGAAGAGGTGAGAGTTCAAAGTTCACGTCGAAAAAGAATGGGAAAACTTGTCATAGTCATGGTACAGAAGGACACGTGCAAACCGACGATCGGTGCCCAGCAAAGACGAAGGCCTGCAATCGGTGCAAAAAAAAAAAAAAA